CTCTCTCTCTCTCTCTCTCTCTCTCTCTCTCTGTGTGTGTGTGTGTGTGTGTGTGTGTGTGTGTGTGTGTGTGTGTGTGTGTGTGTGTGTGTTTTCATACTCATTTTGGCTTAGAGTGTTCACACTTGGACTTGTCTATTGCATGTGGGTTCATCTATCTCTATAGTAAGTATAAAAAAATCGAAAAATAACATGAAATGATGAATTTATGAAACAACTGTTTTGTTCTTTTTTTTTCCCCTGATGAAATGAGTTGGGCAAGGCTGTCATTTTTCCTTGTTTTAATTCTCTATTTTATAATAACTTTTTATTTATTTTTAGTTGGGCAAGGTACTGTTAGAGCCTCTCTCAAAGAAACTAGTCAAACACAAGCTCTTTTTTTGCAGATAGTGTTTTTTTAATTTTTTTCTATAAAAAAAAGAGGAATGGGAGAAGAAGATCTTAAAACAATCTTAAAAAAGAAGAAAAGATTGTCCTTCGAGACATTCATTACAATTGGGACTATATAGTGTGGCCTCTGCGCAAGGATGACACACGTAAATGGAGAAATGGTACAAATAATAAAGAAGAAGAAGAAGAAAAAGAAGATTGACTTTTAGAATATGAAGACTTTTTCTTGTTAAAAAAACTTAGGCCACCATTTTACATCTGGCAGCTTGAAGAGAGAGACTTGCCTGACAATACAGTTGCTTAGCTGTTCCACTTTTTGTTTTCTTTTTTTGTTTTCTTTTTTTGTTTTCTTTTTTTCCCCTTTTCCCCCAAAACCCAATTGCGTTGCTGCACAAGCCCAGGCTGGGTAATGGCCCCAGTTTCTTTCTGGGTTGTTTGTGAGGAATTCCAGGCCTCTCTTTTCCATGTGAAATGAAAGGATGAACTTCTAAATAAATTAAATAAATTAAATAAATTAAATAAATTAAATAAATTAAATAAATTAAATGAATAAATTAAATAAATAAATAAATAAATAAATAAATTGTGTTGCTGTATCTCATTTGACAAAAGCTGGATGATGCTTCCTGTCCTTTTCCCGGGTCAAGGTCCCACCAGTAGGTTGAGTTTCCTCAACGCCTGAATCTGGACGTGTTTGAGGAAATGTGCAGAAATGGCGTTGAGTATATCCTCAACTGCACATCTCCACAAACACGTCCAGATTCACGGTTTGAGGAAACTGAACACTGCTAGTGGGACTTGGACCTGGGGATGAATGTAAGGTCCCTGGCCTCAAGTTTGATTAATGAAATGGATGACTGAATTGTGAGGGGGGGAAATCTCATTGTTCCACTTCTCAGCATTCTACATGCATTTGGATGATT